AGCGTTCTTTTAAATAAAGGGGGGTGTTGGGATTAAAGAGAATATTGTATAAAAGGATATGAATATTCAAGCGTAGATGAATGGGTAACCAGTTAAGCTTATTCCGAAATTCAGAAATATGGTCAACATTGCGCAATCCGAAAATGCAAAAATTTTGAAGCCGCTCAACCTTATTAAGTTCGTCTTCTCAACTTTATAAGTGGCAAGTTATTTTATGGTTCAAAGATCGCAAGCTACTTTGGTATAGTAGTACTGTGGGCTTATTTATATAATCCCCAAAGTGTTTTCAATCAGCAAACTGCGGCTAACCGCGATCAACAAGTAACATGTTCTATCAAGTACCTTTACACAAGTTGGTTGTTTATGATATTAAATTATTCATTAAGAACATTCTAGAAAGTGCCCTATGCTACTATTTTCTTTCATATTAGGGCAGCTTTACAACCAAATGTCTATTACCTACATAAGTATAGACACCTACAAACATAATTTTGATTTTGTACAGGAGCCATCTACCAATAATTTTATAACTAATCGTTGTACCATACTTTCAATGTGAAATGTTGGTGAAAGATATAAACAAGTGTGTTTTCTTCATCTAACTTAATTATCGAAGTTCGTTTAAACCAGGTCATATAAAAGTCCCCTCCTACGTAAACATACGATTATACATTGTGACAGAAAGATACGAATTTCTGTATTATTCTGTTAAAATAATCAATAACAATTATGTAACAATAATGAAATTATTTGTAAATTAATTAAAAGCCGCAAAAACACAGCTGTTCTCAATCAATTCTATGTGTTTAGTAGTATAAAAGCTTTCAAGAAAATTAAACTTGTTTTCAAGACTCCCATTTTCATGTAGCTGAAATTACAAATCGTCCTTCATAATAATGTTATAATGATAGCAATGTTGGCAGGGGGAGCTCCCACGCATTTCTGTGCCTCGCTTGGCAAGCTCTTTTCATTATAAATTTAGCTCAGTCAGCATAGTGTGAGGTTTTCCATTACCTAACATAATACACATTATATCAAAGCAAGAACCTAATAATTATGGATGATTTTAACATACATTTAAGCCAACATCTCCATGACTTCAATTAAGACACAGCTGACGCCACAGCAATGCTATAAAAAAATTGTAACTGTTCTAAAAAAATCCAACCACAACGGTAGCACAAAAAGCTTGAGGAAGTTTCAGTTTTCAGTTTTATAATTATAATCACGGAACGCGAAAATTTAAAACTTCTAATAAATTTAATCTCAAATAATATCCAGTGTTGCGTAAAATATATCATAGTATTTTTAAAGTCGTTTATCATTATTTACCATTTACATTGATATACATCTACTTATTTTACTTACTTCTAAATTTTAGGAGTACTTTTTAGGATTTTTTTCATTTCCTCGTATCAGTAAATGTAGGGCCTAGGTTACCCATTATATTAATTTGTAGAATTGTGGAATTGTGTGACTAAAAAGGATATTCATTCATTCTTCTATTTATCAACTTACTACTACTACAAGTACATTTGTTGCTTGTACTTCACATCACATCAACAGCCTCTTATAGTCAACTGCTGGACATCTTACCTTTTCTTCTTATCTCTATCAGACCTCTCCTTAGAAAGGAGGTTTTGGCCTACTATACCACGATAGCCAGACGGGTTAGTATAGGGTTTGTGTCAAGTTTTCCTTCCCTCTGCAGTGCAGTTGTCCTGCGTAGTTTGCTTCCTCAGTCGGCTGATCTCTACTTGATGGACATAATTTATATTACATTTAGTTTATTTATATGTAATATATATAATCATCATCATATACTATCTGAAATGTGTTACGAATTACTTCACAGAACGCAACGCGGTACATTATTCTTCTCAATTGGACAGCTACATCTGCTTAATAGGCTGGTGCCTATAATGTTTGTGAAAAATAAAATAAAAGGACCAGTTGGAAAATGTTGTCGAGGTTCCAAAGTAAAAAAAAAACTTGAAATAAATTTAAACAAAAGTTTAATAGCACCTGCTTTAAATTCATATAAATCGTCTTAATCAGACTTGTTACAAATTATATAAGCGGATACCATTATGTTAGTCTGAAATATTTAAGTTCAGTAAATTAGTTATCTTTTTAAAATCTTAGAAAAATTTCGTTTTACAGAACTTCATAATTTGTATTTTCTGATTTGTTAAGTATCCATGTTTAGAATAATACTGTTTTTATTTTAATTCGTTCTGATGCGATACTATTTTTAGAAGCACATGAAAAGCACACACTTGTAGCTTCACGCATCGAAATTGACGACAATTTACAGTAGTAGTACTAGTTTTCATTTATTTTAAAAACAAAATTATAAAAGTTACCTTCTACGTCAATGCTACAAAAGATTTACAACATTCAAATATTTTATTTACCTTATGTTATCATGATGATGACAAATAAGTACTTGTTGATAATTACTTTGTTGTTTTTCAATTTATGTTATTTATTTACACTTTTCAAGATGGTTGCAAGTAACGCATACTTACAGTAATGAAATTATTTCAACTGTAATAATCTTACATGGAAGCACCTTATATTATGTAAATATAGTCCACTATTCACAGAAATAATAAAAAAAAAATGAAGAAAATTGAAAATATTAAAAAAATCATGATTTAGCGTTTTTTCAGTGTTTTTGCAATTTTAAGCGGTTTAAGGATAATTAAACTACAAAGTCACATAGAAAATTTTAAAGAAGACGTTTGAACGATTAAAATGATCAGATTAAAGATGACCTCCGAAACATAAAAAACATAAAGACAATTGTTCGTGGAAGATCAGGGTATTTTAGAGTCGAGCAATGTAAAGAACTCAAAAACTAATAATCTTCTGAGCTGCGAAAAATCATGATTATCCGACACCTAAAAAGACATATTTTACATATTTCCTTATCATTTATACGCGAGATATAAATTAAATACTGAAAAAACGTTTTTTGCTATTTTGACGGTTAATTTGAGGATATGTCAAAAAGTGTTAAACACAAAAGTTTTAAATTTTTTATTATCTACAACTTTTGCATTACATTTTCCGCTAGGAGGACGCCTTTCGCCACAAATCGCAAAAAAACGTTTTCAACCCCTAAACTGCCTCCCCATTTTACCTTTTGGATAAAAAAAATCTTACATTTGGAACCTCCACAACATTTTCCACCTGATCACTGCCTGTTATTATTATTTTTTATTTTTAGGGTTTCAAATTCGTTTTGGCACCAGCCTAGAACGTCTTACAGTAACTACACAGATGATGACAAGAATACCGTCGTCTTCTCTGTACATGAATACTTTAAAAGGCTTTTACAAGTTTCTGAAACTAACTAATCATTAATAAGTTACTGCGTAAACCAATTTTGTAAGTCAATTTAGTCTACTTTAAACTGTCGTATTGTAATAAAATATTGAGTGCTTCTGTATAAGTAAATAAGATCTTTTAGCTAGCTTGATTATGGAGCCATGAGGTGTATGATTGAACTCTTAAGTAGATACTGATAAACCGCTTCATCTTTGTTATAATTTCTTTTGATGAGTCCAACCATATTCGATTATATTAACGATGATCTGACGACGGAGCCAAAAATAAGTAAGAGTTCCAACACCTGTGGTAGGTGTTGGAACTCTTATTTATTTTTGAAAATGTTTTTTTTTGTTTATCCCAACTTTGTATCGATAAAATCCTGAGCCACATCTAATTGGTATACAAGTTATCAAAGTTTAATGAAACAGTTATACATTACCATTAGACTTGCTACAAATATTAATCGAAGAAGTCAATACACATTTCATTTTGTCGACAGTTTTAATAAAGGTCTTCTTAACAAAGAATCAAATCATCGCAATGAAAGAACTTAATCGATGGTTACCGGAGCGTGCTCGTAGCGGTTTATTGAAAAAGGTCCGAGGGGACTTCGTTCTATGTACGTAGGGCTGAGGAAATTATGAACATATTGTAACGTGCGCTTTCTTCGTGTTTTATCTTAATCAAGACTTGTCTAAAAGCCTTTGTCATATATATTTTTATATGGCTTACATTACGGACAATGTGTGTGTATAAATATAAAGCCAGACGAAAAGTCCAGTGTTTTCATACTACTGTGTTAGGAGTATGTTACAGCTCAATATTACTTTTAAATAAATTAAATCCAAAACAAGACCGACACTAAGACTCAGCCCATGACCTACCCCTATTAACAGCAATCACACGCCCCCTACGTAGACGTAGGGAGGACCTCGAAAGACCAGTGATAGTTACTTACCATCCCTATTGCCCTATGTGCTCGTTTCTGACCCGCTATACCATAAAAAAGATCATCCATCACTGACTGGTACTAACAGAATCTAGAAAATTATACAGACCTATTTTTGATTAAATATGATGATACCAATCTTACGAGCAAGCTTAAAACTCGTTTCATAAGTTAGGATCTGAATTACACCTGTAGATGTTTTACTATTATTAAATACTAAATGGCGCCATGTGTTGTTAAGTGCAAAACTCGATAACGGCTGGAAAATTCGACTGTAATGAAAAAAGTCAGCTTCATATGGCTGAAAATACTGAGCACTGGGCAGTAAAAATATAATTCACAAAATGCGTGATATGGGAGAGGGCTATGTCCAGCAGTGGACTGCGATAGCCTGATAATGATGATGATAATGCAGATTTTTGTTGCAAAAATTCTACTGTATGTTCAATACTTTAGACTGAAGAGAATTCAAAAACTAATAGTCTCTGCATTATGGCGGTTACCGTCCCTTGTACACTGACAGAGTAGGCTTTGACATTTGCCTTAAGCACAAAATATGTCATTGTAAATTGTGGTTTTCGTTTATAAATTAAAATGTTTCTAAGACATGGAAAATTCTACATAAAACTAGTACGAAATGTACAAGCATTCAATATTCCGTTACGATGTCTATTTGTAGTAACATACTAAGACGAAATTCTTTCCAAAAACTATGTACAATGGAGTCAGACTCTTATTGCACATACACATTGTAGCTTCAAAAATATCAAGAAGAGAATTCAGTAATGATATGTCTAAGTTCAAAGAGCTTTTGCAGTCAGCGAAAGAAGTAGTGGTTTTATCTGGTGCGGGTATAAGTGCTGAATCTGGTATACCCACTTATCGAGATCAGGGTGACCTATGGAGAACTCTGCCGTCCTCCATTTTAAATAATCCTGGAACTTTTAGGGAGGACCCGGGCTTAGTGTGGGAGTTTTATCATCACAGACGGGAGATGGCCTTGAAAGCACAACCAAATGCGGTAACTACCTAAATGTCTTTTTGTGAGGATGCCAGCGTGACATTTCGTGTGATGATGGTGATGATGATGAAGTGTTAAGTAATTTAAGAAAACGCGCGATCCTGACACTTGTCACATATAATATGAAACTTCTGACGTCTCACTTACCATAAGATGGTCAACTTTAAAAGCGCGCGCTCATTGGTCAAATCAAATAGCACAAGTTACGCCCTTGACTACAAACTTTTAACTGTAATAATTTTAGAGCTCTCTGCAGTACATCGTCCAAGTCACCTATGCCTAAGTTAAATTAAGTTTTTTTAAATATTTTTAGTCCTCAGATTGCTGTTACGCTGTTAATTTACTCAATAAATAAAAAAAAAGTTGTAGTTTTGTTGCCGACTTCTTATTTCCCGGCTTCCTGTTAAACACATCCATTTATTTTCACCAAATGGCTCTACGGGTTGCACGAAAGCAAGAGGAAAGATGTAACACATTAAAAACAAAATAAGTAATACAATACAATACTTTAGGGCAAATCTTACATACCCATACTCTAAAGTATTGACTCTACAAGATGATTCTGTCACTAGAATTACACAAAATGACCAACACTAAATGATTTTTTCAATTCGAACCAGCAGTTCCTGAAATAAGTATGTTCAACCAAACAAGCAAACAAACCCCTCAACTTTATAAAATTAGTATAGATTCATCTATGCCCGGCGTGGGTTGAGCAGAGGCGTGACCTCGTGGTAGCTATCGGAGTGGGAGTTCTCTCGATCTGTAATATGATTGCGGCCATGGCGCGGAGCGAGAGTGCGTGGAACTCTGCCGACTCCTTCCGCGAGCAAGTTGTGCTTGCGAAGGAGATAGCAGAGCGGGACCGGGAGAGGTTTAGAACTCTCCCGGCCCGCCAGGCTCGGGAACGGGTCAGGTACCTCGGACGGCTCAGACGCTGGAGGTCTCAGAACGACCTTCGTCCTACATAAGCGCAGGCCTTAGGGTGACAGGTGAGGCTATCTGTCACGCAAGGCTAGCAGAGCAAACGTACACTTTCGAGAGCACAAAGGGTACATGGGGGTTTCCAAGGGGGTCATCTACCCGCCGTAGATAGCCCGAGGTACGTCAGTGTACCAGGGATTTCCTTTCTAGGGTACACCTGGTTCCTCGGCTACACTGGCACTCGAGACGGCGTGCGGTTTTTGGTTGGTTCGAGTCCGACATAGCCACCGGTGGGTGGTGGAAAAAAAAGTATAGAATCATCTATTAAGTGGAATAATATGATTCAATGAAACTTTTAGTTTTCATTTAATACTATGAATATTTCTTACTAAGCTAAGTGTACTGTTTATTGTATATTACAGGGTCACATAGCCATAGCTAAGTACGCACAAAGACATGCAGCCGATAAAAAGGTGACTGTAGTAACACAAAATATAGACGGATTGCATTCTAGAGCCGGTGCGAAAAACGTTATCGAACTTCATGGCACTCTGTTTAAAACCCGTTGTACTAAATGTAATGAGGTTTTAGTCAACACCGACAGTCCTATTTGTCCGGTACGTATACTAAATGAAGTAATACTTTTAATGTCTTGTATGCAGTGAATAGTAGACGTAAAAATAAAGGATTTAAAGACCAATCAGAAAAATATTTAAAATAGGTTTCGAATAGATGCACTTATAGTATACCTTTTAATTCGATTCCAGATTTGACAATTTCAGTGTTGCAACGTTATGACAAGTACCAAATAGTGACGTTGCGAAATTATTCGATACGGAAATGGAATATTTCCGGATCGATTCCTCTCGTTTATAGTAGTATATCTAAACAACTACTACTTTAATAGAAACTAAGTATATCAGGAAATTAAATATTTCTGAACGGATAATTTAGTTATGACGATTAATTTTATTAAGGATCTGAGAGTTTTCTTTAATAATTGTGTGTGAAATAAATAAAAAAATGTGATCATGAAGGAACATGAGAAATAAAATAAATAGATGTATTATGGTAATATTTTATTTTATAAATCGTCGCCATCATCGCTATCGCTATCGCTGTTACTTTCTGTAACATTTATTACAAATATGTCTGTGATTTTGTCAATTAACATATCTAGCCTACTCTAATGGGTAGAAAACGTAATATGGCTGATAGCATGCTCAGCCGAAAAACAAATTACATCATTCTTATACTCGCAGATTCCATGAAAGTCACACTTTATTGTTATAATATTTTGTTTCATGTACTCCACAATCGTACGACTTTTTACTTCTAGGCGCTTCAGGGCAAAGGTTCAGAAACTTCCACACAGCTATACTCCGACATCCCTGAGAAAGATCTACCACATTGTAAAAAGTGCGGTGCTCTCCTGAGGCCTTATATTGTTTGGTATGGAGAATTAGTGGAATCTGAGACAATAAAGCGATTAGGTACTGTATTAAAAACTAATATATTTACAAATACCTTATTATTTATATACTTCTTATTTATTATACTTATTTACTTTACCGCAGAACCAGTTATATCAAAGTGTAACATGTTGTTAGTAGTTGGTACCTCTTCGATTGTCTACCCAGCTGCTGCATTCCCCACTGTGATGTCAGCAGGAGGATCAACTGTAGCGGAGTTTAACATTGAACCGGCACCGGCTTCGACAATGTTTGATTTTTACTTCGTTGGCCCATCTGCCACAACTTTACCGGTAGCTTTAAGTGACTAAATTTGTACTGAAATATAATGCAGATAGATGTGGAACGTTTCTAATCATTTAACAACCGACAAATCAACCTAAAAAACTAAACTTCGGAAATTAATTGTACGTGATGACTAAGGCCCCGTCCGCACGGTGATATTTCACAGGGCCTTTTTTTATGCAAAATTCTGTTTAAATAAATCGCCACCGAATCGTGTTCATTTTGTATCAAATTACGGATTCTTTTTGGCGCAATTTTTTTCCGCCAGTACGGATAGTCCTATATTTTTCGCAAAATTCTGTGGCACATGGGATTCTCACGGAATATTGCGAAAAAACCGCGCGGCAAAATATTGCTGTGCGGATGGGGCCTAAGTTATTTAATTACCTACTTTGGTCAAATTTTAAGAGGGATGATACAGACGCCCCTTTTTAGTAAACTAAGCATCATTAGTTAATCGAAAAGTCACAAGTCAAACTGGCTTATGGTCATACTAAGTACTAAAGAAACTAACACTGATTTTATATCACTATATATATTCATTATATAGACAGCCACAGTATTGAACGCAGAGAGCCTTATCCTCCTTCCAGAAAGGCGCGGCCGGAAAACGCCGCACCACAGTCTTAGGTCTGCTTCTGCTAGGGTAACGGGCATGCTCATTGTTACACCCAGCCCAGCGCTCATGGGGGTTGGAGATCGTTCCGAGTACTCCGGCACCGTCGCCTGGATACACTACTTCAAGACGGTAGAGTTCTGGCTCTCTCCTGTTCTCATTCTACCGCCTCTTTAGCGGGTATCACTTCCTCACTAAAAGAAGAGCCGGAATTCCCCGCACTCTCACTTTAGGCCATGGTCAGAATCATGGTCTCTAGCGAGAGGCTTCCCATACCAATAACCACCGCAAGGTCGCAGCGTTGTTGCACCACACCATAGCGTGGAGTACAGTACCTATCCTCGTAGCAGCGTCATAGTGATGGCACGAAGACGTTGGTCCTCGGCCTATACGACATAAATACTTTCTAAAATAGCCGTGGCCGGTCAGTAACTGTATCAGTAATAAAAGCTCGAAAGCAGTAGGTAAGTTCAATAATTAGAAGTAAAAAAATTAAATTCTATGATTACATAGCTGTGGGCGAGCTACCCTTGCTCGGCGTATTTGACCCTTCTGGGGCGGGGGGGGGGGGGGTCACTAAAACAGCGGCAACGCATTTGTGATTCTTGTTGCAGGTGTACCTGGGCGGTAGGTACTTCACAAGCAGTGCTATTCTCCAAGGAAACAGCCTAGCGCACAGCGCTGCGAAAGCGTCGAATTGCAAAGTAACTTAGCTTGAAGTTCGACACTGTGTCGTACGCAAGGCTGTTTCCTTAGAGAATAGCACTGCATATGACCCGTCTCCTCATTTACTCTCTATTGCATTAAAAAATATGGCTCTATGACTCAAAGTTTTTCTATTTTTTAAAGAAGGAAAGTTATCTTATATAGACAGGGTATTAGCCTTTAGGTACAGGTATCTACTGCTTACTGGTGTGCACTATAATCGCAAATGCGCATATTCTATTATTATATTTTAGGCACAAAAATAGTTTTTCAAATGTTTAATGTAAGGTATTAGGAAATATATTAGGTATTAGGAAATATAATATATCTGTTATTTATTGATATGCGACTAGGACTGCAGGATGTCTTCAGTCTATGAAATATATCGTTTGAACATAATGTTCAACTAAACATAATAATATATGTTAATAAGGGAAACCAGTAAAGTAAATGTCAATAGACCGACAACAACAACAACTCTTAAATGTTAAATATATTTTTGTTCTATTGCTCTCTTAGGCTGAAATTTATAAAGCGTACTTAGACTTTGCTCAGACTTTGCTTACGCTAAACTTACTTAAGTTCCTGCTCAGTGTAATCTTAGCATTCGAATTTATAGTCCTCTTGGGCTAAGAATTTACTGAGTGTATGCTAAGCAAGATCTCAGGAAAAAAATTTAAACGTTTCGATTTGCATAGCATATTAATTTAAATTCTTGGTATTTCAAAAATATATTATTTTTAAAATAGCTGTAATAACCTAAAATATTAGTAATCTTATAAATTTTATCATATTATTGTATTTCAATCAATTAACACCTTTAGTTTTCATTGATTTTAAGTGATAAAAGGCAAAAATAACACATGTACAAGTAAAACAAAACGTACGTATATTTGACTTGTGAAATGTCATAACAATATTTGAGGTTGTCTCGTCTCGAGTTCATTCGCAAATATATCAATTTCTTGTATTAACTTTTTATCTTGACCCTGGCACACCCTTACGGACTTCTGTTACAACGCTTTCGAACTAGATTACGGCTTTTCTTCCTGGACAATCGAACCATCTTTTCACATTGACTCTGGCATATTAATCGTAAGTAATCGCTAAGTCATGGATTTTGGTGACTTAGACTATGCTAAGCATTTGCTCAGCTCGAGCTAAGCATTATGACTATAAATTTCAACGCACACTTAACTCGTGAGGTAAGTCTGAGCAAAGTCTAAGTACGCTTTATAAATTTCAGCCTTAGACGTTATCTTAATTTAATGCTCAGGCTTTTATAGTTAGTCAGTGTACCTGTTAATTATAATTTTTTCAGTGTACAAATTTATGTGTATAAATTTTAGTTAAAAAATGTGCCGACATACCTACCCAAGGTACAAGTTATTTTATTTGTACGCCCTACGTACGTACCTACAAACCTCTACGAAGTGTTTGTGTGTACGGACGTGTCACATTTGCTGTGATTGGATATTTCGTAGTCAAACATAAAACACAGTAAACCATAGTGATGGGACAGGGATGGACTAGATTTAAAAATTCTAGTTTGCGATCTAAGTGGGCTAGGTTAAATATGAGTCCTTTTTTTGTGGGTAAAACATCAATTTCACTGAACATTTAAATTTTTGTGGTAAATATTATACTTTTAAAATAATTCTCGAAAAACCTATGAGTTGTACCTCTTTATTTCTAATACATGCTCAAATTATGTGATACATCATACAAGTCCAGTTAAATTATGTAGCACCTATAAGCTGTCTACATGATTGTAAATTGTTATTTATTAAGTACAAATATCTAATACAAATACTAACAACAAATTTGCGGTACAAACTTATTCTAATGAGAATAAGCTTGTACAGCAAATTTGTTTAAAGAAATAATAAAAATACTACCCCAACGATAAGATTTTTTTACTTATCAATTCCCTGTTTTCATAATTTGACTGAACGGTAACAGTCTTTTAGATTCGGATTTTTATTTAGAAATTTAGATTCAGATCTGTTCAAAGTTATACAGCTGTAATTATATCGATATTCATGATATAAAATGGAAATAAAATAATAATAATTTATTTCGAGTAACTGTTACTCATAGTCAAAATGTGAATATTAATATAATCGCACTTATACCACGAAGCACGAAAAATAATGTGTGCAAGCAAATATTTATAGAGATTACAACTTTAAATACATCTATATTTCCGATATTTTTGGAAAAATCCTGCCAGTTACATCTTATCAACCTCGGCGGACATGGCAAACGTCGTTGAAGATCGCCTTCTTGGAGGAATGGGCGTCACCCTTCAAGTGACCTTTTATATCGACCCTACTCGTGGGAACAAAATGAGCATGAATAATGAAAAAGAAAACCAAAACAAGCCAAAGATGACACAACAAGTACTCCAAAAAAGCATGTTTGCACGTGTAAGGAGCCCCTCACTTGGAACTCTACTAATTGAAACACCAAATCAAACAATTCCAAAAGATAAAGTGCAAGAGGAATCGAATACATCTGATACGAATGATGCACAAGCTAAAACAAATCAACCATGGCAAAACGATCAGGTGCCTATGAAAAGGAAAGCGGAATCTAGTCCTGAACGGACAAAGAATAATACTAAAGTAAATAAGACAACATATGCAGTAACAACAGAAAACAGATTCCAAATCTTAGAGTCAGCAACACACGACGAACCCAGTCAACAACTTAAGGAGCCTAAACCGCCAAAGCCAGAACCCATATTTGTCACGGGAGTTATAGACATAACGACATTAAAGAAAATCCTCTCCTCAATTGTAAATACCGACAAATATACTATGACAACTCTGAGGTCAGGACACATAGTTAAAATAATGCCTGGTGACGTAGACACGTATAAAAACATAAGAGCTAACTTTATAGAAAATAACGTTAGTCATTACACATACAAACTTAAAAGCGAAAGAGCCTACAGAGTAGTATTACGTGGTCTTCACTCATCAGAAGACACAGAACTAATTAAAAAAGAGCTCTTCGAACTTGGGCATGAAGTACGGCACATCACAAATGTACAACACAAAAACACAAAACAACCGCTACCCTTATTCTATGTAGACCTTGAGCCTAAACACAACAACAAAGAAATTTTTAAAATCAACAGAGTGAATTACGTAAAAGTCTCATTTGAAGCACCATACAAAAAGCTAGACATTTTGCAATGTAAAAGATGTCAAAGATTTGGACATGCAAAAAACCAGTGCAACAGACCATTCAGATGTGTAAAATGCGGAGAAGAACACTCAACAACAAGCTGTTTAAAAAGACCGGACACCGAGGCAACTTGTGCCAACTGCCAAGAAAAACATCCAGCAAGTTACAAAGGCTGCATAAAGTACAAACAATACAAAGACTTACTTTCGAAAAACAAGACAGGAAAGGGCAAAGAAAGAAATGGGAACACAAACAACATAACGCAAAATCAATACCGCAAAAACCCGACACAAACTGTACAAGAAAACCACCAAACTAAGAACTACAATCTCTTCAATCACTCGAAACCAAATATCACATATGCACAAGTGACAAAACAAGAAAACACAGCGGGATTAATAACCGATATCAAGAACCCAAATAATTTCGGGGAAGTTCTAGACGCCATGTTCAACAAATTTCAAAACATAATAAATATTATGTTAGACAACATGATGGATCGTATGATCCAATTATTCACAAGCCTTATAAAGCACCCCTAAACCTTAGAATAATCACCTGGAATGCCAACGGGCTGACAGAACGTCGCCAGGAACTTGAACTCTTCTTGAAACTTGAAAGAGTGGACGTGGCTTTAATCTCAGAAACAAGATTCACACCAAAAACTCATTTCCAACTTAAAAATTACATGGTGTATACTACAAACCACCCTTCTGGTAATTCACATGGAGGAACCGCAATCATAATAAAAGAAAACATCAAACATTATCTTTCTGGGGAAACCAAAACCGAAAAGATACAAGCAACTTCAGTCAGGATTCAGGATAATAAAACAGAAACAACAGTGTCTGCAATTTACTGCCCACCTAGGCATGTCATTACAAGAGATGAGTTCAAGACCTACTTCAACACACTAGGGAACAGATTTATTTGCGGTGGCGATTGGAACGCAAAACACGCTTTCTGGGGCTCGAGACTAACCTCGCCACGGGGACGACAACTTTATGTGGCTACGATCGACCTCAACCTTCATTGCGCTTCGCATGGTGTTCCTACATACTGGCCTACGGACCCACAAAAGGTACCAGACCTATTGGACTTTTTCATAACCAAAAATATCCCGCTCAGACAAATGAACGTAGAAGAATGTACTGACCTGTCGTCAGACCATACACCAGTAATTGTCAACGTTCACTGCAAGGCTATTATAGTTGAGTATCAACAAAGACTGTATAACCGGACAACAGACTGGGACAGATACAGAACTAAAATCTCAGAATCCATTAACTTGAACTTGCCACTTAATAATGTAGATAGAGTTGAAACAGCTATCGAAACTCTCAGTAAGCTTATTCACTTAGCGGCGAAAGAATCTACGTCTTATCTAAGACCGAAAACAACACAAATTGCTCACTACCCCAAACTAATAAAGGACAAAGTAAATGAAAGAAGGCTGCTGCGGAAAAAATGGCACTCTACGAAATATCCCTGTGACAAAAAAGCTTTCAACAGGGCTTCTGAGGAACTTAAGCACATGATCTGTCAAGCAGAAAACGAGCGTTTACAAAAACAATTAACTGACCTTACTCCTTCTATAGACACCAACTACTCTCTATGGAAGATAACAAAAAGGCTAAAACGACCGAAGGAACACATACCACCCATAAAAGCTCCTGATGGCAAGTGGGCAAAAACAGAACTTGAAAAGGCCCAAGTATACGCGGAATACCTAAAAACTATCTTCAGACCCTTACCAAGCAAGGATCCTGAACACGTCAAGGAAGTCACCGAATATCTGGACGCACCTTTGCAAATGAGTCTACCACTAAAAAGTGCTAGCCCCAACGAACTACGGAAAGAAATCCTACAACTACAGAAGGGTAAAACACCTGGCTACGATTTGATCGACGCAGAGCTACTCAAGCAGCTGCCTGGAAAGGGCATTATTCACATTGCAGATATCTATAATGCTTGCCTAAGACTAGCAATTTACCCCGCCCAGTGGAAAATTGCGCAGGTTATAATGATACCCAAACCAGGAAAACCGCCCCATGATGTAAGCTCCTACAGACCAATAAGCCTACTCCCTGTTTTGGGTAAACTCTTCGAAAAAATACTACTGAACAGGATGCGCCCCTATTTACCAGAAATTATTCCTCTTCACCAGTTTGGCTTCCGAGAGCAACATGGAACTATCGAACAGATCCACCGTATTACGGATACAATAAGTCGTGCACTAGAATGCAAACAGTTCTGCTCTGCGGTCTTTCTTGATATTAGTCAGGCGTTCGACAGAGTGTGGCATGAAGGACTTCTCTTCAAAATTAAAAAGCTGCTCCCTCACTCCTTCTTTCCGATTCTACGATCGTACCTACACAGTAGATGCTTTGAGGTGAAATTTAACAACGAAGTTACGCCTTTAAACGAAATTCTCTCAGGAGTACCACAGGGAAGTATATTGGGACCCATCCTGTATTTGCTTTTTACCGCAGACCTTCCAACGCACGTTGATACTGTGACTGCCACGTATGCGGATGATACAGCCCTTTTGTCGGTACACGTGGATCCCGCTATAGCATCGGCCAACATACAAACCCACATCCATGAAGTGGAAAAGTGGCTAGATAAATGGCGTATTAGGGTTAATCAAGGAAAATCTGTCCATGTGACCTTCACCTTGAGAAGGCAGACTTGTCCCCCAATAAGGATTTATAATGAAGAAATTCCTCAAGCTGAAGATGCCAGATATTTGGGTATGCATCTGGATCGAAGACTCACCTGGAGAAAGCATATCTGGACCAAGCGTAAACAGCTGGATACGAAAGTCAGATCCATGTACTGGCTGATAGGACGCAAATCAAGCCTCTCACATGAAAGCAAGATAGCTATTTACAAGACCATCCTTAAACCAATCTGGACTTACGGGATCCAGCTGTGGGGTACTGCTAGCAATAGCAACATAGAGATTCTTGAAAGATTTCAAAGCAAGACTTTGAGAGCCATGCTGGATATACCCTACTATGTGAGCAACAAATATATACACGAGGACCTAAAGATCACTACCGTCAAACAAGAGATCGCTAGATATAGTGAAAACTATCAGACGAGAATATCAACTCACGTCAACGAATTAGCATCCAAACTGGAAGGCAAAGGGAGTATTGTATATTCCCGATTGAAACGGCATAGTGTCTCTACACTAACCGTGAGATTTGGTGACACCAGATGAAACGTACTCTTATGAATACCTTCTGCTAAAATACATACATATCAAGATACCTCATCTGAATGGCTTATTGTGTTGACACAGATTGCCAAGTTACAGAATTCAAAAAAAAAAAAAAAAAAAAAAAAAAAAAAAAAAGTTACATCTTATAGTGGATAAAAGAACGTGAGACAGGAAAAAATGTTTTTTTTTTTTTTTATTTCTATGCAAAAATCACTAAAAGGGTACAACTCGACTTAAACGACTCATTACAGGAGGATTTCTACTGTTTTTCATAATTTAAAGATTTTTTTCTGTGAAATGTCTTATCACAACATTTTGGTAGAAAACCAATCGTACCTTCGACAATTCGCGTCGATCTACATCTTTTTTTTTGAGGCGTTTAGGCAACCAATAACATATACCACAATGATACGCCACTATTTTTACAAAATAATGAGTTCTGTGATTTGATGCAAATTGAACCCGAACGGTGTCGATTTATTTCCGGGCGAATTTTTTGTGCAGTTTGAAGTAGATATGCCTAAGGCATATATGGCAGGTATGACTATTCGCAGTGTGTACTAAGTGTATATCTGATCGTTGAATATAATAAGCGAGAATAAAATCCTTGCGGTGAAATATCGCTGCGCGGACGGGCCCTAATTGAAAACTGTGCGTTATTTATTATTGAACGAACATTCTATACGTCAGTATGACATGTCATATGTAATCTTATCTTTACAGTCAAGTCAATATGCATTAATTATTCATAAAACAACAATACTAAATAGACCTTGTAACCTTTGTATTATGTGCACTATCTTGCTGAAATCAATTCGTAGAACAATAGTAGCGTGTTATTCTTTTGAAGTCATGGCTTTACGACAGTCAAGTGATATGATGAAATTTAAAGAAGCTTTAAAATCGGCAAAACAAGTTGTTATATTATCCGGAGCCGGTATTAGTGCTGAATCTGGTATACCAACGTTTCGGGGATTCGCAGGAGGATTGTGGAGGAAATATCAAGCGTCATCGTTAGCCACTCCTGGAGCTTTTCGGAGCAGTCCAAGTTTAGTTTGGGAATTTTATCATTATAGACGAGAAGTAGCAGCTAAAGCCCAACCTAATGCGGTAAATAATGATATTTTATGTATGTATAGTAATTTCTATTTTATTAAATGAGGTAACTATTTCTATTTTTTCTAATACAAGAGCTACTACTCAATCTAAACTCTTTAGAAACAGAAAAATTAACTGTTACTTTTAGCATTCATCAATATCTGTAAATTATACCTATAAAAAAAGGTAATAATACAGTATTTTATATACTATCTATTTAGATATCATAATCAAAATTGTAATACCTATTTGTAAAAGTTAAAATAAGGAAAGATGAACTTACTGACTACTGAATGAGTTAGTATTTTGCAAATCACAATTGATTTGTAAATTCTTGCTGTAGTCTTTTCTTGTGCTCTCTATGGTTAACACAAACTATCCCTAAAGGTATGCTTGGTAGTTCAAGAACTAAGTGTTTGCATATTTATATGACTCATTATCTAATATTCTGCCACTAATATCTTAAGTTCATGACTTACCAAATCTTTGTAGACCACATCACTAATGTGCATGTTTGTAAATTTTGATTAGTCGGTGTAATATAAAGTATTATAATTATTATATTCAAGTATTATAATAAAGTATTATATTCAAATGAGCATTTTTAGTAAAATAAAAAAAGTTGTAAGCAAACTTAAGGCTTGTAGATGTTGGTTAATCATCAACTACCTTATACAGAAATGAAAACCATAAGGATATCATGTTATTTTATAATTCTTCCTAACAGGGTCATATGGCAATAGCTCAGTATGAAGCAAAATATGGATCAGAAAAATCAATATCAGTAATTACACAGAATGTGGATGGGCTGCATGCAAGGGCCGGAACCAAGAATTTAATAGAACTTCATGGAAATTTGTATAAAACAAGATGTACAAAGTGCAAAGAGGTTTTGGTCAATAACGATAGTCCTATCTGTGAGGTAAGATAATTATTTTGTATTAACTATGTTATTATAAAGCCAAATTTTAACTTGGCTTATTTTCAGTTAGTCTATTTTATATTAAAGCACACATACTCTAGCATAGTAACAGATATGATATTTTCTGCAATTGCTTAAGTCTGTAGTGTCATAAGAAATAAGAAGGAGCTGGAATAGAAGACAAGATATGGATGTTCTTTAATCTTATTTTCATAACAATAATAATTAATAATAATAAGTATAATAAGTATATATTGTATAATAAGTATGTATTTACAAAAAAAAAAAAAAAGTATATATGTATTTATATCAGTTATTTAGTACCCATAGTACAAGCTCTGCTTAGTTTGGGACTAGATGGCGTTGTGTGAATGTGGTAGAATATTATTATTATTATTATTATTATTAATTAAACAAATTTTCATATTTACTACTGTCGTGTTTTGTTTAGTTTTTTTATCAAGAAGTTGTTACTTACCTGATTTATTAAAGAGAAAAATAAATAAATTTCTGAAACATGTACTATATTCAATTACTTTTATATATGAATATATTTTAAATACATGGAAAGAAACATACAATGTAAGAAATACAGTGGGGTTGTAAGCAAGAATTTAGTTACCTACATTCAATGTTAGATAATTTTAATTGTATCTTAATGTATCTTGTGATTTAACAAAGTTTTTACTTTTTCTCTAAGCAGTTCAATGCACCATTGAGATAAAATCAAGACTGCTAATGCTATATTTCAGGCTCTAGCAGGTAGAGGTGCACCTGATATTAATGTAGTGGGTTCAGATATTCCTGAAAAATCTCTTCCACATTGTCAAAAACAAGGCTGTGGAGGCTTATTAAGGCCACACATAGTCTGGTTTGGTGAAAATTTGGAATCTAATGTGCTGGAAAAGGCTGGTAAGTCTATCATCTCTTTCAATATTAATAAAATATATAAATTGATAATACAATTTATTAAACTGAACCACCTAGAATTTATTAGGGATCCCATCCCATCATATGGGATCTCAAAATAATTTAATAGATGACAAACCCTAATCCCTTTTATACATATGAACTCCTCATGTTAGAAGCATTATCGGGTACTCTCTGCATATACTCAGTTTCCAGCTGTTTTCCATATTGGGTGTATAAAACCATACTTGTGATGAATAATAACTTGACTGAGTTTAAAGTTGTAATGGATATGTTTCAGGAGAGGCCATGTCGACTTGCGACATATGCCTCGTAGTGGGCACATCGTCTGTCGTGTACCCGGCGGCCATGTTCGCGCCACAAGCAGCCGCTAGAGGCGCTATCGTCGCGGAATTTAACATTGAACCCACGCCTGCCACTCACGAATTCCATTATTACTTTGAAGGTCCTTGTGGGACTACATTGCCCTTAGCTTTAGGAGACTAAGCAATAATATTTGTTTTATAATTTTAATAGTAAAAACGCTAATGTTGTAATGTAGCTAATTAAGAGTTGGTAGATGTGATGACAAGCAGGTTTTGGGCAATACTGTACCATGTATATATCTGACTTAGTAAAAGGTGCTAGTGACATGTAAATACTGTAAAAATAAAAATAAAATATTTATTACACTTATATTTAAAATAAATAATCTTTCTATTCATATTCATTATCACTATTTCTTTTTGTGTCTCCCAAAAAATTTGGCTATATTACTGATTGTCATTCCAAAGTTACAATTGGGTATTAGCGATTTCTGAAACAAGAAAAAAATATTATTTTGAGTGTTTCTATGTATAATAATAATAATTTAACTAAAACAAAAAGGTTGTTTATCCATGTTCGAGACGTTTATAAGTCGTCAAGAGTATACGATTCTGGGCTCGCAGGGCAGGTTAACTGCCCTGCGAGCCCAGAATCGTATACTCTTAATACATATACATAGCTCTTAATACTCATAATACAGCGTGCCTTTTATAGTATACTATCGTATACTATAAAAGGCACGCTGTCTAATAAGCGCCTTTCGGGTTGGCCATGGGAGTTTATCTCCTGGAGGTAGTTTTTTGGCAAGGGGACGAAATTGGAGAGGGAAGGAGGGGAAGGGTCGAGACGTGATACCGTTTTAGATGGTCACTAGTGCTATATGATAATGATCAAGAATATTAGTATATTCCCTGATAAGACGTTACATTTTAGAAACTTACTTGTACAAACGAAGGTAACGCTGAGATAGTTTGAGCCCTTGAATATCTTTCATCCACTAATAAAACACATGCATAATCATTTGCATGTCTCACTGCCCTTCCTAAAACATATAACATATTTTTTTACAATTATTCATACAAAATAAGAAAGACTATGTACTTTTTTTTTTTTTTTAAAGAAAAGACAACTCCCGAATTAGGAATAAGTCCTGTGTCGCGGGGGACTTTACAAACATACATGAAACGGACACAAAGAACACCCAGACTCAGAACAACAATTTGTGGATCACACAAAGTGTCGTCCCATGTGGGGTTTGAACCCACAACACTCGGCGCAGTAGGAAGCGGCGTGGCGACCGCTTAAACCACTACGCCATCCGTGCAGTAAATAATTATCCATTCAAAGTCATCAACTTCGCTTCATTTTCCCCCCAGTATTTTTTCTTAAAATTTAAATGACAGCAAACAGGAATTATACCATCCCAAATTAAAAATGAATTTCAAAAAGCAGTTCTATGTTTAAAAAACTTGAAAAAATAACTAAATTGAGCTATTCCTTTTAGTCGATTAACAATTTAAAAAATTTAAAGGTGGGAGAGCCGTGTTTCGGCACATAACGTCAGTCTCGACTGTAGTAATACCATGGCCTCGTAGAAAGCTGGTGTCAAGCAGTTCGTTCGATGCTTTTTAAGGGCTGAGTGAGGTTACGGAAGCCCAAACCCACCATGATGGACTCCATGGGTTGCGGTAGTCACTTACCATCAGGTGACCCGTCAGCTTCTTTGTCCCCTTTTACTATAAAAAACAGTGGCACTTCGGGAGTGCCGAGAGAAATGAAAACCTTCGATCAATAATAGTACTTATTGATCGAAGATGAAAACTTATATACAGAGGTGTCGGTAACGGCAACTGTGTAGCGAGTTCAATTGTTTTTTCCCCATCTCAAAAAATGCGCAACGCGCCTAAAGAAGTTTTTCACTTCAACAGAGGTGTCGGTAACGGTAACGGTAAAAGTGTCGCGAGCTTATTGTTTTTTCCCATAAAATGCATTGTTTTGTTTGTTGTTCAAAAATGCCCAACGCGCCTTAAGAAGTTTTCACTTCAAAATCAAAACTCACCAATACACTGATTAACGGCTTTCATACAGAGATTTTCGTAATAAACACTGCCAGCGCCACCGCCTGAAGTTTTATTCAAGTAGTTCATCTTCTCTTGTAGCTCTGGCGATTTGACGTTAGGGTACGGCAAACCAATTACTAAAACGCATCGACCTAAGTCATCACTGAAAACAGTTAAAACATTTTTTATTGATTGTTAATACCAAATAAGTTCAGAGGTTGGTGAATATAAAATATACTGAAAATTAATGGTCAATTAATTAATGATTAATAATAATAACCAAAGTCACTGACATTGCTTGAAGAATTGCCAAACTTAAGTGGCAGTGGGTGAGGCAAATGTGTAAGAAAATTATATATTTAATTTTTCCAGGTATGGCAATGTTGTTGATATCACCATTGATGACCTATATTACTATATCAACAGTCTATTGACACTGAATCTATGTTAGTGGAATAATGATATTTTGACCGATATCAATGACGTCTCAATGGCATCTCAATAGCGTGTCAATGGAATAACAATGGCTTGGCGTTAACATAAAATAGCAGAATTGAGGCCCTGAAATCTCGCGTTTTTATGTAAGATACATATATATTATTATGTGTGTTAATATATTACCTGAAATTCAATCCTTCACTAAGTTTGCCACCAACGACACTCAACAACAACGCTCCATTTTTGTCCCCATCTTTTTTTACGATGGCAGCTGCATATTTGTTTAACACCTAAATCATTTTCAACAATTACCATAATTGACGTTGTATAGGTATCATGACACCTTGAATTTCATGAGGTGCCGCTCTATCTGCGGGCCGTCATTGGGGCCTATCTGCGCGATAGGACAGTGAAGTTTATCGGTCGGGGCGGGGTGGAAATTCGGAGACAGGTGTGTTGCGGGGTTCCCCAAGGCTCTTTTTTAGGCCCTTTGTTGTGGAATCTAGCTTACGATGTGGTCCTTCGCACCAGTCTGCCCTCTGTACTTAGTGTTGTCTGCTATGCAGATGACACTTTAATACTGGCTAGAGGGTCACACTTCGACGAGGTGCTTCGGCTCGCCGAGCATGGGGTGGCTTGTGCAGAAAACTGAGGCGATATGAGGAATGGTGAGGAGGCCGCGCCGGATCATGAGCCCGGAATGCTACGGCGGAACGCGCATACGCAGGCTTTGCGAGCTTGGCAGGCACGGCTTGTAATCCAGGGCTGTGCTAGCCAACGCGCCGTCGGAGCCGTTCTGTCGAGCTTCGAAGCGTGGGTAGGGAGGAACGACTGTGTCACCTACCGATTGACTCAGATGCTTACCGGGCACGGTTGCTTCGGTGAGTATCTGAATCGAATTGGACGGGAGGCCACGGCACAATGCCACCATTGCGGGTCCGACCGGGACTCCGCCCAGCACACGCTGGAGGACTGCCCTGCATGGGAGTCCGAACGTCGAGTCTTGGTCGGACAGATCGGACGAAACCTGTCACCGCCAGCATTAATCGCGGCAATGCTGGCGAGTGGCGAGGGATGGGCAGCCGCGGTCTCCTTCTGCGAGGACGTTATGCTCCAAAAGGAGGCCGCAGAGCGGGATCGGGAGAGGGCCGATCCCGCTCGAAAGAGGCGGCGAAGGGGACGCGGCAGAGGTCGCTAACTCCCCAATCGCCGCCTAAGGGTCGCTGCGGCCACATCTTGGGGCGATGTGACCGCTGTAAACGACCCGAGACGGATGACACTCCGGTGCGGCCGGGGGGGTGTCGTCTAAGGCGTTCCTGGAGCTCCTCCCGACTGCCGAGGAAGGCCGCCGCGGGGTTTAGTGGGTAGACCGGTTCTCCGGGAGTCCCACACACGCCCTGCGTTTCCCCAACGGAGGGTATGGTGCGAAAAGCATTCTCCGCGTGAAAAAAAAAAAAAAAAAAAAAAAAAAAGGTATCATGACAACGTCGACGGCCCCTATTCATTTTAAAAAATGCATTTTTTTTTACATTTAGCTTCCAGCAAGAGACACTACTAGGCGCCAACAAAGAGGTGATGGAAAGGACTAGTACTCTCACGAGCTCACTACTGAGGCACTGGACCCAAAAAGGCCAAGTCACCCGGTGACTTCATTCCTTAAGTCAATTGACCCATTCATTTTCGTTGCATATAACCCTTGTTTCCACAAGTACAAGTACAAGTTTTATGACTTTACAAAATTAATCGATTGTAGTGTCTATTTAGTTAGAGATAAGACTCAAATTCTTACCTGATCCACATCCGATGCAGATTTGGGTTCACGAAAAATAGATTTCTTCTTATTGATAGCTTCAATAACATTAGTATTTTTTAAATGGTCATACACTGTTTGTTCGTAAGAATATGAAGGTAGAAAGCAAACAACGCCTCCTGGTACTATGCTGCAAATGTTTCTTAATATTCGCCCTGTTTCGCTGAGCTAAAAAGTAAGGTAATACTTACATTTTGTAGTGCAAAAAAATAATAACTTTGGGCACCTCGCACACTGCCTTCGGATCCCAAAACTGACAAACTAAGTAGCCACACTGCTCATATTTAACTACTTATTTAATATGGCAAGTGACTACCGCCGCCTATGGACACGTGCAACAGTCATGAGTGCTTCGAGTCCCTCCCCCTAGAATCAGTGGGAGGAGGGTTTGTGCACCGGTGACCTCATTCATGTGATATATGTATATCAATAAATAGTGGGTATAACTAGCGGCACGTAAGTCTAGCGCTGAGCGGAACGTGGAAGGGATAGCCGCGCATGGGTACTATCGCGCACGCAAAAATTTACTTTAGTAAATAGTTAATGTTATAGAGTGTAACTTCTGAAAGTTGTTCACGTGCCAGAGTCGTCAAATTTGAATTTCTTTATTTTCTCAACAATAGGTACAAAAGGTAAGTAAGTAATCATACTATATAACATTATCAATGTGAATGTAAGTTTGTTTGTTACGCTTTCACGTGAAAACTACTTAACCGATCATCATGAAACTTTGTACACATATTCTTGGAGGTTTTAGAAGTAACATATGATACTTTTTATTAAAATAATATTTTTTACGAAAGATAAAACTCCGAGCGAAGCCGCGGGTAAAAACAGTATTTCTTCTAGGCATATTCACTGTTTAAAGTCACAAACAAAAAATAACGTAACAAAATCAAACTTAACAAAAAATAACAGCGATAACAATATAACTCAGAACGCGACTGTACTCTGGAAGCACGCGGCGTGTCGTATCAGTGCGGGGGGACGTAATGCGACTGGAGAGCCAATCGGCGCTACGCACGCCCGCCCTTCCTCCCTCTTACCCCACAAGATACCTGATTTTTGACTTCTGCGCAGTAACTGTCACCGCTAGAGTTTCGTGCCGCTACTTATACTTAGATATAAGTTACAATAGTTTTATATTATAACAGTCTGTAACTGGCGGCTAGTATGCGAATATACGTCCAATAGTGATGTTGTCTTTATATTGCGAGTCCCGATATTCTTCAATTAACCCGGTGAAAAGCAACAAGAAAATTTCTTAACACCTATTTCTGTAAGACTGGTATGACTCTAATCGAGCCGGCCCATACGTGCTGAAGCATGGCTCTGCCACTGTTAGTCATTTAGAACCTTCTAATTAGGAACATGACAGTCGACAAGTCCAACTCGCTGCTAATGAAAGACTAAAATTACTTGAATCGTGTGACTGTAGGTTGACCCGTCAAACAGTCTTTACGGTATTGATCAAAACTTTTTTTAAATAATTTTATATTATTATTAGCTGAATCAACAAAACAAACGATAATGCACAAAACATTATCTCGTAAGTACAGAAACTAGCATACAACGTCATTTTCACTTTTGTCCTTGTTTTGTTATATTGTGATTTTTTTTTAAGATCATAAAGTATGATTTACCCAAGATCATAAAATTCATTTCAGTCGTTTACCACCTCGCTTGCCCCCCTGTATCATAAAAAATTAACTAACCCCCCTTAGCTTTATTATTTACATATAAAGCTGAGCTATAAAAAAATCGTGTATCTAAACGCTTGTATAGTAAAAGTATTAGATAATAATAATAATTACACATACCAATTCATTTGACATCCTATTTTCGTAAGAAAAATTTAATGTGACATTTGAAGGTCCCTTCGACAAGCAAATGCCAAGCACATTGTCTGGAGGAACTACGTGTTCACATCTGACTACATTGACTATTTCGCTCTTATCCGAGTTGCCAGTGAGGAGCGCTTCAAATTCATTTATGGGTTCCATTGTTCCTCCAGCTACTATCACCTGGAAATAAATTTAGCAATTAACAATTTTTTGGAGGCACATGTCTGAAATGGAATTAGTATTGGTTTACAATAATGCTGAACATTGAATTTAATTAAAAAATTACGCACGAAAATGAACGAAACACAAGATATTTTATTTATGTTTAAAAAAAAGAACTAATGCTATTTGTAATTAATTTCAATTACTTTATTTCATTTTCTTATTCTCTCGCAGCTACCGTATCATTTTTCTACGGCACCCGAAGGTCGACTGGCAGGGAATGCCCTGGGCATTAAGTGCGCCTGAGTACAACTTGTGCATTAAGTTATTATAAATAAATAAATTACGTGTGGTGACGAATTAAGAATACAGAGTGTCACCACCCCTATTCATGCCGTGGGTGTCGTAAGAGCCGACTAATGGAAAAAACTACACAGAACAACATCACTGCAGAATGAAGGAAAACTTGACACAAACTCTATACCAACCCGTCTGGACTGCGTGGTATAGTAGGCCAAAACCTCTTTTCTAAGGAGAGGCTATGTCCAGCAGTGGACTGTTAAAGGCTGTTGATAATGATGATGAAATAAATAAATTATAACAATGTTAAGTCATTATAACAGCACTTACGGAACGACATTGCTTCACAACATCGCTGAAATGCTCAGCTGGATTCAACAACAAATATTTGAGTTGTCCATTCTGGTCATCTCTATGAGCCAACACACGCCCATTTTCACTGCGGTCGCAAAGCATATCTAGGAAGTCTAAAACTGCATATAACCCGCTACCTGCAGAGGTTTCTATAGGTGTCTGAAATTGAATTTAATACTGAGATTTGATTTTATTACACAACTTAGTCGTGACGTGATTGATACATATACCCATGCAAAATACATACATACAGTTTTATAGTAATAAGTGTTATAAGTAGCCTATGCCTAGCTATGAATAGGCTATAAGTAGCATGCAGTTGAAACTAGGACAGAATAAGCATAAACATGATTATTTTACTTGCTTACGGTTTTGTTTTTATATTTTAGCTGTGTGCACAGTATTCATCTCGAGCAAACATTACGTTTTAAATATTATTTAATAAAATATTTAAGAGGAACAAGGAAACTGATAAAATGACGTGTGAGTGATTCCGTGAAAAAAGTCGGAAGTGTGTAACAGGAAGCCGGGGAAGCACACGCTATTTGATTTGACCAATGAGCACACGCTATTTGATTTGACCAATGAGCACGCTCTATTTGATTTGACCAATGAGCACGCTCTATTTGATTTGACCAATGAGCACGCTCTATTTGATTTGACCAATGAGCACGCTCTATTTGATTTAATCAATGAGGAGGTGCGGTTGCTAGATGTCCGATTTTAACACATCATATACTATATAAGTACTTACGGTTACTGTCACAGGAGTTGATATAACTTCTGGCTTGGATTCTTCAACAGTACCTTCTTTTTTCTTTGAAATATTGTTCATGAACATTTCAAATGAACTCTTTTTGCTGACTGTACGTTTATTCATTTCTTCTTCGAGAGCTTGTTGGCTATATCTCATAGAGAATCCGTGGAGTTTAGGAGCTAATCTCGTGTTTCTAGAGAAATCAACCAACGGGCGCAAGTTCATATGATCTATTTCTGCTTTTACTACAAAATCTTCTAGTGTAAAAATTGTAGTTTCTTCCTTTTTCGTTTCATTGGATTTATTTTTAATCAAACCTAACATTATAGAAAAAAGTTTATTTATATTAAGCAGTACCATCCACACCTTCGTTTGTCTAATAATTGTAATATTTAATACCGCATACAAAATTATCTTACCTAATAATTTGGCCACAACAAAACTGATCTGATTAAGTGATAGAAGATTTCTACTGCTTAGCCTTGCTCTGTACTTATTTATATAGAACTGTAGAAATGTCTTCACAGCCGAAAGTTGCTTCATAGAGACTGGGGCTGAATGTGCGTTTTCTAAAGCAGCTGTCAAGCCATGAGCTTCATCGAGAATAAGTATATTGTCCTGTAATTTGAGTGAGATACCAGACCGAGCTCCCGAGCTGACTATACCAGCATGACTTATTAGAATTACCTGAAATATATGTGTAATAATAATTATGAGTTATGATAGATAACAATATTAGTAATACTACACAATATTTATTAATGCTTAAGACATTTATAGGAAAAGTAATCGTTTGTCCTTCGAGAAAATCTTGGCAGTCAGTGCAACATAAGTAATGCACTCGTATGGTTAACACCTAAAATATAGATTATCATTTCAATTTAGGCACCAATTAGGAAGATAATATAATGGGATTTAATCAACTGTTTCGGCCTGGCAACTGGAACGAGCGTCGCAAATGGCGGTGCGGCGGGCGGGGCAGCTATACACACGCGGCAGTTTACAGGCCACGGGCAGCAATATGGAGTGCCACACTCCTATTCATCCCGTGGGTGTCGTGAGAGCCGACTAAGGGAGCAAACCCTGCAGGACAACAACACTGGAAAGAGAAGAAATACTTGACACAAACCCTATACCAACCCGTCTAGCCAGCGTGGTATAGTAGGCCGGATTTACCTTTCTAAGGAGAGGCCTATATCCAACAGTGGACTATTAGAGGCTGTTGATGATGATGATGATAGAGGCAGATATAGGCTGAATCTAAACAAGTAAATTAACGAAAATAAACTTATTTATGCATACCTCTGCATCCTCCAGAGCCATTCTAGATGCATAATATGGGCATGCCTTCAACTCCTTGCCACATTTTACTATATCTTCCATGTCCATGATATCTACGAGCATTCGCTCTTTCAGTTTAGCAATATTTGTCTGATTGTAATATGGACAGCCTGTGCATGATCTAGTTTTAGTTTTCTTCAAAACTTTACCTTCTTCAGCAACTGATGTTGATTTTGTCTTGGATTTTTGCATATCTAAACATCTGGTAAAAACTTTATACCCTTTAGAATGGGAAAAAAATTATATAAACTGCCCTGAAAACATTACTTAAAATATACTTTACCTTTCATTTATTAGATTAACATTTTTAAGTCTAGATACTTCAGCATTTATACAGTAATGTTGTCTGGATGCTAGTGTGACAACCCTAGTGTCATCTTTGAAGACAGTTCGTTTGATTTCTCCAATAAACTGTGAAAGTTGACTGTGGGTTCTGCTACTTATGTAAATCTGTAAGTGAATGCTATAATTAGGCCAAAAATAATTACAGTAACTGTATACAGGATGAGAAACGTACCGGCACAGCAGAATAATTCGCTAGGAATGCAGTTTTTGGAAATACGTTAAACACAAAAGTTACAGGATTTTGTCCTGGCTATTAAATGGTGACCTTGAAGGTTATCTCAAGTCAAGGGCACTTTTCAAATGTAATTGCATATTTTTGAGCCCGGAATTGAGAAGAGAGGAAAAAATTAAAATCGCATATGACCTTCAGAAAATTTTGACCTCTAAAGGTTACCAATCCATTCCAATTATGGTCAATTTCAAGGTCAGTAATGGATAGCCAGGGAAAATTCATGTTACTTTTGTGTAACGTATTTCTGAAAAATACATCCCATTCGCACTGCAATTCTTCTGCAGTTCCGGTACTTTTCTAACAACCGCTATAATAAGAGTTTTTGAGGTATTACTCAAAATAGTTAAAGGTGTATCATTACATTAAGTGAAATTCAATCAGGTTGCTTGTTCATAAGCAACCTGATTTAATTTCAGAATGACCAGCAATGTCCATATCAGGAAATAGAAATGTATATAATACCTATTATGTAATTGTCTTAATTCTAATTATTTAACATGGCAAGCAAAAGATTAAAAGTAGTATTTTACAAGGTAAATTAGGGGTGTCTAGTATTGGATTCTTGTGTAATAAAAAATTTATGCTACCTTGATTCCATCATCCTCCTCTTCTTCCTCTACTGTTTCTTGAGATTCTTGATCATCATCCCTATCCTCGCATTCCTCCAATAAGAGATCTCTATCTTCTTCAGAATCTTTCTCTTTTAAATTATTCTCTTTATCATCAATACCATCCAATTTATCATCAATTTTTTTATTATAGTAGTAAACAGAAGTTTTGTTTGCTAAACTAGATTTCTGTTTAGATACACGGACTTTCATTTGATCAAACAATTCTTTCTGTTTCCTTATTTTATCTAGTTTTAGTTGTAATGTTACCAACGCTTGGTTCTTCTTTATTTTATCATATTCTTCTTGAAGCCAGTCACCAGACCCTTAAATCAAATAGTGGTCACAACATTATTGTAGAATATTGAATAGCAGTTCTGGTGACTACATCTAGTTATAAAATGAACTTTGCAGTTATTCAGTGTGTACAAGTTGACCAGACTTAGATAAATAAATATATTATGTTGATTTACATAAAATATCGAGTTACTGAAATTCCATCCAGGTTAATTGAAACATAACTCATTATTGATATGAAAAGAATACCTATGTATTCATATACATATATTCTTCTCACAAACTAAAGTTAACAAAAAAGTTGTATCTTAAACATACCTGAGTTACTAGATATTTCAGCTTTCAACTGTTCTGCTTCTTTCTCCATATCTGTCACATATTTTTCTTTGGTATCCTTAAGCCACTTTAGAACACCACAGCATATGCTTAAAGATTTACCCTGTTGGCAAAGAAAACTAAAGAGAATAACTTAAATAACTTTCTGACTTATCTGATCAAATTATAAATACACATACATAGAATTATAAATAGACATACATTTAATTAGAAGCAGTTAATAAAAGACAGTCATAAGGGATGTCTACCACCAACCTTAATCTGATAACAGCAGATAAAAACTGCTCTGGTGGTGTTGTGAAAATGTTTAAAGTAATGTATGTTTAATGTTTTTTTTACTTTTAACTATGCCAATCTGCAGCACAAATTATCGTCGGCGGTATTTCTTGGCCAATACGTCCTTCAAGAAAAGAGCGTACTCCTTCCTCAAAAGCTGGCAACGCGCTAGTGACTTTGAGTATATAACAATGTACTCTGTGCTTGTGACTCCTGAGTTGCAGGCATTCATATGCGGCGGTATTCACTTTCCATAAGGTGACGCGCTTACTCGTTTGCCCCCTCTATCATAAAAAAAAGTTGCGGTAGTTAATTAAATAATAATCAAATATAGTGAGTATGAGATATACCTACGAGAATTTAGAATAGAAATACCTACAAATAATACAATTAGCTTTTTGATGACGTAAACTTACAGTTCCAGTAGGACTTTCAAATATTCCTAACTTTTGATTTTCCAATGTTACATAAAGTTGCTTCATGAACTTTTCCTGGATATCATAAGGCTTGAAAGGAAATGGAAATATTATATCCATGATGGCGTATATTGCACTAGTACACTGCACTAGAAAAGAAACGTACTAAAGATTTTTTCTTATTTCACGATTACAAATTTTGAGTAAATCGTATTAAATAATAATAGTATAGTAATCCGTGTGGTGACGGACTAAGAATACAGAGTGTCACCACCCCTATTCATCCCGTGGGTGTCGTAAGAGGCGACTAAGGGAGCAAACTACGGAGGATACAGGATAACAGCACTGCAGAGAGAAGGAAAACTTGACCAACCCGTCTGGCCAGCGTGGTATAGTAGGCCAAAACCTCCTTTCTAAGGAGAGGCCTATGTCCAGCAATTGACTATTAAAGGCTGTTGATGATGATGAATAATAGTAAACAAACCGGCACTGACATATTATGACTTATGATGATATGGTTAATATGATTTTCGCGCGTTGCGGTTCCGTCAAAATTGCATTGACGGGTACATCACAGATAACTAATGTAGAGTCTGTGATTTCCACAAATAAAAATCTATTTCTACCATTTAAAAACCTACTCTTTACGGATGTTGACCACTACTTGCGAAAATGAACACTTAAGATACAAGATTATTATTAGCTTGCAGAGTACACCTGCAAAGTAGGGATACCGTATAAACATCTATTAATAAAATCTTTTGCATTTATATTGGTGGTAAGATTTAAAAACTTACATGTAACGACATGCCTTTAAAACAAACATTAAAAATCGGCAAAGTTCCACTGTGACCCATAAATAGGTTACTTTGGATCATTGTATGTGTGACTTATTGATGTGACAATTTATGTTAATTAAAAAATCAAATTAATTAACTTAATTACTTAGCTATCGCCCATCTCTAGTGGTGGCAGCACCAAAGACATAAGTCGAAGTCAGTTTTGAAAATTTTGACAGCTTAAAATTTCAATGGCTGTCAATGGCATAATCTGCATGAATTTGACGTCATTGGGGTCGCGATTCTTAAAAATAAATAAATAATTATTTCTACAACATTCCCAAAAAGAATTTGAATACTATGTCTCACAAGTAAATCTTTAGACTCTTATTTTGAGTTTTCTAATTCAATTACATTTATACATTTATAACTGTTGTCTTTTCCAGCATTAAAATCTTACCTGGTGCCACAGTTTGTGAAGATTGTACTTTAGAGGGTGATATCACGATCGGAGGAGGCACAGTTATTCATCCAAGAGTGACAATTATTGCAGAAGGAGGACCCATTATTATTGCAGAGTATTGTATCATTGAAGAATATTCCACAATCATACATAAGTAAGAAAATTACTTGGATATTTAGTATCTTAACGTTTGTTTCATTGTGTTACCACTGGTAACATTTTTAATTATAACTGTACAATAAATTATAATGAAGCTCTATACTAAAAAGAACAAGATATAAATATCTTGCTTATTATTAGAGTATTTCACCTAAATAGCAAGTGTTTATTGCTACTAATGATCTGATGTCCATCATCATCATCAACAGCCTATAACAGTCCACTGATGGACATAGGCCTCTCCTTAGAAAGCATGATGTCCAAGCATTAGTTATTTCTTTATTTTTTAATTAGGATCTCCCATGAAAGATATACACAAGTAAAAAACAATAATTAACTAAAGGAGTATAAAGTCGGAGTATCCATTCACTTACAGGAGACCACAGCAAGCAATTAATAATAAAACCACATCAACCAAGCAAACAAAAAAAGTTATCAATTAATATAAAAATTTGATGGTCTGACATGTTTCTAGATTTTGATTTACTGTTGCTCATGTGTGCTCACAAAAGCTCAAAGCAGTTGTAATTGTCATAAATGAGTACCTATGTCCTTTTTAGGACCATAGCATCAATTTCATTAAGCACCATGTACCTTGCTCTGTGGTCTTCTTCTGTGAGCAAGTTATGCTTGAGAAGGTTTAGAACTCTCCCGGTCGGATATCCGCACAGAAAAAAAAGGTACCTTGCGCTGTATGACATGTATTTCCATAAGTACTTTATTTCTTTGATACCTTCTATTTCTGGCTTAACACAATATTAAAAATCAAATGTGTAAAATGCATACAAAACCAAACGGTATACTAGTATTAGCTATAAGCTGTAAAATTTATTTGTTTGGTTAAACATACTAATTGCAAGAACCAATAATTCAAATTGACAATACTGTACTCTCTTTATTCAATTTTAGTCATATTTCCCAAATTATGTGTTTCAGAAAAAGTGATCAACAAGAAAATCCTCCAAAACCACTGTTTATTGGTGCACACAATGTTTTTGAAGTTGGCTGCAAGTTGGAATCTCCATGCGGTCATATTGGAGAGAGCAATGTATTTGAATGTCGATCATATGTAGGTGTTGATGTTAAAATTGGGAGTGGATGTGTTGTTGGTAATTGATTTTCTCTTGTTGTTGTATAACCTTAACCTTAACAATATTTTTTGCTATCCCTATGGAAACTGTTTTTAGTAATATCCTGGTTTAGGTTACTAGGTCCTTCTATGAATAAAAGAAGCTGTGTGATGTCATGGGACAAGTGCTTTATGGTATTTGACAAATATATGATTTATAAATTATAGTCAAGTATTTAAAAAAAAAATTATTTGCATTAATTTTTTTTTATATACAAATAGAAAAAGTTGATTAGGTAATGAACTACAGCTAGTTGTTTAAATTGGAATAATTCGAATACTATTGATTGTAGAGAAACAAGACGTTATATTTTATTCTTTATCAAATTCTCTAAAAATCATATGCATGATATCTTGATCTCCGATGCATTGTTCTCAAGTTTTTAAATGCGCTATGCAAGTAGGCGGATTAACCTTCTTTCTAAGGAGAGGTCTATGTCCAGCAGTGGACTATTAAAGGCTGTTGATGTGATGTGAAGTAGGCGGATTACTTTCTCTAAAGCTAGAGGGAAAGGGACTAACGCTTTTTCGTAACGTACGCTTTTCCTAGTAAAATCTCTGTCGCCACATCATCCTATAACGAGCCTTATTCCAAAATCAAATAATGCTTTGAGAATATTAATTAACATTTATTGTAGCATGTAAAAATCAGTGTAGGGTCATTCATAGACCACAAAGCATACTGATTATGTATATTATGACTGACTACATTACTATGTGTGTTTTTTCTCTATGGTTACACTTTTAACATTTCCTTACTTAAAATTTCCAGGTGCAGCTTGTCACCTAACCGCACCTCAGACACTAGTCGACAATACTGTGATATGGGGTTCTGAACATCACATCAGAGAGGCATTGGAAAAACAACCCTCACAGTTACTCCAACTAGATTTCCTAAGCAAAGTTATGCCCAACTACCACAGGCTAAGGAAACCAAATGTTCATAAACGACAATCGTCTACAAGACAATCCCAAGAACCATCACCAAAACCATAAATTATTATATCAGCTATTTTGCCTTAACATATTTATTATTTGTTGTTTGTAAGCTAAATTTTTATTTATCTATTGCTTTCACTGAATAATCAAGAAATTTGATAGAAAAAAATGTTTTGGTTTTTATTAATTATTATGAGAAGAATGAAGACACTACACTTACTGTTTGTTCAAGTGGAGAGTTACCTAATCTCATAAGAATATAAATATTTATATTTATTTTAAAGTATTTTTATATTTATCACCAATGTGGGTAAATGACATTGAAGTTGAAAATTGTTCCTGGGGTAGCTTCAACAAGCTATATATATATTATGCTATTATGCAACAAGGAATATATATATTATGCTTTCCTATCAATTCTGGTATATGAACTGTCATCAAAGTGCCTACTTGCTGGCCCCTTCCTTTTCGGCTTCTCGTATCCAACTCCTGCCAATCATCTTGCGCAAATCGTCACTCCACGACCTGTGAGCGTTTTACACTACGTTTGCCTAGACGCGGTCTCCACTCAAAAACTCGTTTACCTTAATGCTTATCGGTTCCACGGCTAACATGGCCAGCCCACTTCAGCTTGCTAATCCGATGGGCTACGTCGATGACCTTGGTTTTCTGCCGGATCACCTCATTTCTAATGCGATCTCTTAGAGAAACGCCGAACACAGCCCTTTCCTTCTTACGCTGAGCGATTTTAAGCTTGTGGACCAGCCGTACCATAAGTGTCCACGTTTCGGCTCCGAAGGTCGCACGACGGGAAGGGCGCACTCATTGAACACTTGTCTTTAGGTACTATGGGATCGACGATGAGAAGACCCAACGTAGCTTCCCGAACGCTCCCCAACTGAATTCTTCTATTCACCTCGTCCTGAATTTGTTTCTGCCTTTTTTTTTTTTTTGTTGACGGGGTGGAAAATCCCTTCTGATCTCCTGCTTCTCGGGGACTATGAGCCAGGAGTATGTGGTGATTCCACTAAAAACCACCCCGACGGCCGGCCTCAGGTGTCTTACTCTGGGGAGAACCCGGACCATGTTATTTCAGGTCCACCCCGAATTGACACCATGCCTAATCAGGCCCTATCCCAGGGGAGAACACTTCCCACAACAATCGCGGCATGGCGGCCCGATCGCATCTTAATGCAATCAGGCCGGCCATTCCATGCCCTACCGCAGCAATCAATTTGCCACCAGAGGTCCCCTCTCTGGCGGCCTGCGGCGCCCTCGACGGCTGTTATCGGCGCCGACGTCCTCTACGTTCGGGATCAGCCCTCTCCCGATCCCGTTCAGCGGCCTCTTTCTGGAGCATTACAGCTTCACAGAAAGAGACCACTGCGCCCCATCCCTCCTCACCCGCCAGCATGGCAGCAATAATTGCTGGCGGGGACAGGTCTCGTCCAATTTGGACCAGGACTTCGCGTTCAGACGCCCACGCGGGGCAGTCTTCCAGCGTGTGCTGGGCGGAGTCCCAGTCGGCTGCGCAGTGCTGACATTGTGCCGTCTCCTCGCGTCCGATACGATTCAGGTACTCACCGAAGCAACCATGCCCAGTGAGTACCTGCGTCAATCGGTAGGTTACGCGGCCTCCCGCTCTACCTACCCAAGCTTCGAGGCTAGGCAGAACGGCACCGACAGCGCGTTGGCGCGCATTCCGCGGTTGTTCTAGCCGCGCGCGCCACTGCACCAGTGCCTGTCGGTGAGCGTTCCGCCGCATTTCGAGCTCGTCCCGGTCTTCCCCGCTCTCACCCCGGCGGATCGCGCGAGTCTGGACGTAGACCCTTGCGTCCATATCCGCCAGGATATCAAAAGGCGGGAAGCATGCCAGGACCATCGCCGATATGGTGCGGTATCCCCGTACGATCCGAATGGCCGCTACCCGCTGCACTTGATTGAGCTTAGCTCGGCAGCGGGAGGAGGCCGATAAGCGCTTTGCCCATATCGGCGCTCCGTAGAGGGCCATGGATCGTATCACCGCACAGTAGAGGCGAATTTGTTTCTGCCTAGTTGCAATGTCTGCCCGAGGTATACTTATTTTGAACAACTTCGATGTACCGCAATCGGTTCCGGTAGTACATAATCATTGAACATGACCTGGGTTTTATCCCACTACATTCGGAGGCAGATGTGTACAAAGCGTCAGCTAGCATTCAGCATCTGTTGTATATCCTACAGCGTCTCTGCCATGATGACGATATCGTCTGCAAATCGCAAGTGAGAGATGTATTCGCCATATACTACGCCCTGTTGAGTGCAGCGTCTTGAACTTGTCCTCCTTTTAATATATTTTTTAAGCTTTTTCAGAAACATCTCGATTTCGTTCGTGCTGATAGATAAAGTCGAGATGCTTGCTTAAAATAAATATTAAAATAACCATATTTATACAAGTAGGAATTTTGACTAACTGAAAATGGTTATTTCGTTGGAACTGGGTGCGAGCGAGGGGTATACCAGTTAAACTCTTTAACCTGCTTAAAGATCTTGGATTGCCAAGAGCGTCAGTAAGCTCTTTTCTTGAACGAATATCCAAAGCGGCATTGCTAGGTTCGTATCAAATATGGTTAGGTAGAGGGGGTAATACAGTAGACAGTGGAGGTGAGCGCTGATGTGCCGCAGGAGTACTCCCTTAACCTACCGCTATCACGCGATGGAGCCGGCACCCGCACGGTAAATCCATGGAACGCTAAGAAATAGGTCTCCAAGTTTATACCTATTGGTGGTGGTGAAGGATTAAGAATACGGAGTGTTACCACACCTATCCATCCCGTGGGTGCCGGTGTCTTGGTAGGATAACAGCATTGCAAAGAGAAGGAAAACTTGAAACAAACCCTATACCAACCCGTCTGGCCAGCGTAATACAGTAGGCCAAAACCTCCTTTCAACGGAGAGGCCTGTGGCGACTCCCACATGCAAAGTATTCAGAAACATACTACAGAGCTAACGAAGATACACCGAACTACGGAGTCTGTCTACTTGGTAATCCTGTATCGCGATATGAAGAATTTTCTCGCCGATTAGCATATATACAACTTCCCAACATCAACCCAGGCATCAACATGACCGCCAGGCATGACCACCTTGTCTGATCGGAGGATCCTCCTTTTGTATTTGAGGGACATGACTCCCGTTCCTGTACCTGTACAGGAACGGGAGTCATGTCCCGTTCCTGTACAGGCCTATGTTCAGCAGTGGGCAATTAAAGGCTGATGATGATGATGTCTATACTAATATTGTAAAGACGTAAAGTTCGGTGGGTACTAATGATCCGATTTATAAATTCACTGTTGAAAGGTATATTATCCCTAGGTGCTATAGACTACTTTTTACAGTGATAACCGAGATACATACGGGCAAAACTAATAAAATATATAATAGAAAACGTATCAGAATCAAATTACATGGCGAAACTGTAACAACCGCAGACAATTGCCAAATAACGCCAATTTTTAAATGACTTCTTTGACAGCCAGAAGACAGTGTTGCTTTCCAGTAGTACAATCTAGTACAATCATATGTTTGTTAATATTAATGTTATCTTTGTCTTGCGTGTATCGTCTTTTCGTCCGGCAAACTTTGCCCTACTGTTGCCATTTGATGCTAAGGAATTTGACTCCCCATGGTAGCACTGGCCTCAGTATACCTAGTAGAGGTCGGTGCCGAGTTAGACAGTAGAGCAGAGCTGCTAACAGATTTCGGGGAGTTGAACAAAGTCTGCTATAAAACACTCATTTCATTTGCCTTAATTCAAGTGCGGTTTTAAACCCTAAAAATTAGGAGGGGTTCACTATATTAAAATGTGTCTAGTAAAATAAGACTTAATTGCAAAACAAATGTAAGTTTTCTTAAGGGATTGGAAAAATCGGGTGATAATATTACAATTATGTGGTTTTTATCAATCAAGTTTTTATACCCCTTAATGTAAAAACGATCTTCCTGACGTCGCGTCGCACCGCTCATAGAAAAGGCTGGACACCACGGTGTATATAGATAGAAGGTCAATTATTTTCTGAATCATACTTTTACTGCATTATAGTGGTTTTGGCTAATTAATTTTTATGGCCGGCCGCCTGCCTGTCGCCAACCCTCCTTGGGAATGTAGTCGTTTATACGATAGGGAAGGGAAAATAGGAAACATCAGGGGTGAGAGGATAGGATGAGAGAGGAAAATTAGGGTGGGGGAATACCGCAGTACTAGGATGGGAGACAGGACTTAGACTGCGGTATGTACCAATATCCAGCGGTTGGAGAGGCCACCAGGACAAGTACCGCACGAACTGTATATATATTGTCTGATGATAAACAGTCCAAAGATTCCCTCAGTCGGCTTTTACGACACCCACGGGAAGAGATGGGTTGGTCTTATTCTACTCCGCCGAAGGAATGAGTATATACGAGGGAGTCTGAAAGTAGCGCCACTGGATGAAAAGTTAAGAAGTAATAGGTTATCTTGGTATGGACATGTCATGCGGAGGGATGAGGAAAATGTGGCGAAGAAAGTTTTTAGGTATGGGAGTTGAAGGGTATAAGAGAAGAGGCAGACCAAAGAAAAGGTGGATGGACTGCGTGAGGGAGGCTATGGCTAGGAAGGGAGTAAACAGTGAGATGACGCATGACAGAGTAGAATGGAACAATCATACATACTGCGCCGACCCGAAATAAAATTGGGAAAAGGGTAGGCAGATGATGATGTCAATTATTTTCTGTGATATTGCTTAGCAACCAAACTAACATATTTTATTCATGTAGTTACTATTGCCTTATATTTGATACGTTTGGTATATAATAAACACTAAATATTTTTTGTTGTTAACCTTAAATAGTCGATTAAAATTACTAAATTAAAAAAACATTCCGGCAAAAATCGGTTCATCTGTGACATTTTGTTTGATACTAAGAACAATAGAATATAACCCCTGAATGAACATCATTATGCTTTCAAGTTTGAACAAAGATACGTAACCATTTGTATCATTCGAATATTACTCTTATCTCCTCCAAATAAGAATCAGTGGTGAAATATTAAAGTTACAATTCTACCGTGTCCTACTTTTATCATTTGTGTTGCATGCTGAAATAATTTCGTACAACCAAATAAAAATATAAGGATGTCGTCTCGCATGGAGCGTCATCGATTTCTTTAATTTTGAGGGATTTATTTCTTTTATTACGCCTAGCATTCATTTAAATTAGAAAATCGTTTCAGTGTTGTTACGTTGTTTGTTTATTTCATCAAACTCGCTACGTTACGTGTTGAAAATCTTTCCATAACGTTCAAAGATTTTTATAGTTTACACAGTGATATTATCTTGCAATATTTAATGAATAAACAACCACCGCTGTGAGTAGATAGTTCTGCTTTAAGTTTCGGGCTATCAAGTCAGCACAGCGTAATCAATTCATTTTTTATTCGTTGCGGACGCCATGTTGTTATTTACTTTGTGATTTTACTACGTATGGGGAGGTAGTGATATGGGTAGTTTATTGTGTTGTGCCGCTACATTGCGTGTGTGAGCATGTTGGAGGATGTTCCCGTCCACGGAAGTCGAAGCGACTCCCGAACCCCTAAAGCCATTACTCACCAGAGAAATCTTAGCCTGGATTTCAGGTATGTAAATTTCTAAAGTTCTCATATGTTTATTGATAACAATAAATCATTCGTGTGATCATGGTTTCATGTCAGTCGTTTGCCACCGATTTTGACGGTTCTGTAGGAATAATTGTGTCCAGCACCACTGTAGCCTGATTAAAAATGTTGATTTAAAAAAAAACTAGAGCTATTGATTTTCAACCTTCTTTACTAAGTATTTTGTAACAAGAAACTGTTAAAAAATATCACAATCTATTCCATCCTGTTAGGATGTTATATGTACCTATTAATACTTGAAATTAAATGTGATAAGATAACTATTATTATCTATAGTACACATCCGTAATTGGAAGTTCATTAACAGATCTATTTTGTAGTAAATTATTTAAATATGGAATATTACATACCATCTCAAACATTCAACAGCCTTCCTCCTAGACATCCAGGCCGATTTAATTAACTTCCATACATTTGAACTTGGTTTGCAATCAAATCCATGATCTCTAATTGCTGTAGTAGAATGCTACAGTAGAGAGTGTTCTACCACTAAACAATACAGCTCAATATTCTTCTTTATAAACCGCTAACCATATTATTATAAATACAGCCCAACCTTTTAATGGAATCATGTTTTTTTTTAAAGTAATTTTCAAGAAGAAAGTTCAATTGACAATCAAGGAAATTTGCATAGTATATTAAAAAAAGAGAAATTGTTATTGACTTTATGGCAATATGTATAATATTGATAATAATATCATATCATAATAGGAATTTAAAAAAATACTAAATATCTTATCTGTATTAATATTAATAAATGTAGATTAGATTCATGTTGAGTTATCCCACTCAACAAATCAAGTAGAAAATCTTTTCCTTCAGTTAATAACAAAGAAGGTTAATAACAAATATTAGTAGTATGGTATTTCAAAAAGAAGTGTTGGTATGTATGACATTCATATTTTTGCTCATTCTAGTTATAAATGTGTTAACTATGGGATTTTTTATTTATATTAATTTGATTGATCATTACTCGCTCATGAAGCCTCATTGAACCTGATTAAAAAAAAAGTATAGTACACAAAGTAACTTACAATACTCAAAGTAACTTTCATACAACCTTCTTTCGACATATCCCCAGTGTCACAGTAGCTCTGGTTTCTTTCAGATGGATGGATTATGGAAAGTGAATTGTGGCAGCCAATTTTACTTGCTGCATTATACTGGTTCTTACCTTTCTTTGTATTGTATTTGGTGTACAAATGGGAGGTTTTTATTCTTCATTAAATCTCTTTACTGTAAAAGTACCATTTGTGCCTGTTAATATCTTTCATCAACAGTATTATACTTTAGAAACTTGTTATAAATTTAATATTTTAAACCCAAAAAGAGTATTACTAAAGTCTGACAATTAATTGATACTGATAATAATATAGATAGTGAATAGAACATAGTGAAATCCACTATGTTTTAAACAATTCATATTGTGACAATATAAAAAAATGTAAGTAAAATCATAAGAATTCAAACAACATTCATATATTATGTATAATCTATTACTTTCTACTCTAACATTTTAAACTTTCTAATTACTATTCAGTTAATTTGACTTAAGATATGGTTATTCTTAAGAATCTTGATTTAAAGTATTTATGACAGTAAAGTAGAGACAGACCGGAAAGTAATTTAAATGTGGACCTTCACTTTTATAATACTTTAAATTAAATAAAAAAAATTATAAACAGAAAAACTTAAATGAGTAACCTTGGGATCTATAAGAGTAACCTTGGGATCCATTAGTTATGCAAAGCATTTCCTTTTTACTGACATTCCAGGCGATGTCTGTTGCAATTAATTTTTATTCATATGTAAGGTATGTTCTGCTCTAGTAAGCATGTGTACACCTGTTACTTATTTCAAACACACACATATGTATGTACATATCTGTGTTTGAAATAATTATGTTATATATTCTGGTTAGCACATTAATTTCTCCTAATGTGATTGTATATCTTAGAAACCTGGTCAATGCAAGTTGGTGGCAGGAGAGAGTTCTGAACTGTAGTGTAAGGCATATTTTAAATTTTATGATTGTTTTCCTCCATTCTCCTCTATCACTCGTCAGTTTACCATTTCCTCTTTTTCTAGCCATATATCCTCTTTTACATAATCCATCCATCTTTTCTTTGGTCATCCTCTACTCTTATATCTCTCAACTTCCATACATAAAACGAATCTGTTACTTCTAAACTTTTCTTCCAGTGGTGCTACTTTCATGCTTCCTCTAATGTATTCGTCACCTTGTCCATCTTAGTGACTCGACACACTCCATCTTAACATTTACATTCCAGCTACTTACATGCAATCTTTTTAAACTATGGTAAAATTTAGTTTTATCATTATCATTTATTATCATTTATCTATAACTAGGGATTCACCCTGACTTCGCATAAGTGCAATGCGTGGAGTAATTAATTACAATATTATTATAATAAGACTACAGGACATCTTTATATTTATTTCAGTTACTTATTTATTTACTTTAATTATAATGGTTTCACTAATCACAATAATTAAAGACATATATACATCAACACTAATAAACCCAAATGAAAAAAAAGATAAAATAAAAATAAAAATCATCACTCCATCTATCCGCAAACAAATCACAGTCGAGATTGGCACGCAGGAGAGCGTTGAGTGCAGAAAGAGTGCGCGGTATGGGTGACCTAGCGCGCGCCACGGTGCGACATGATGATACGGCAAACAACATATGAGCCGGGTTGCGAAGGTAGTAATTGGGCACCAAAAACCGACACAACTCATCATGTAGGCCTGGTGCATCAACTTTCCCTCCAAATTTTACACATAATTGCAAATTGGTGCATCTCCCGTCGCCAATTAATTGTAGCCTAGACAACCGAGAAGGAGGGATACATATATGGATGGTATCCGTAGACACACTTGTAGAGATTGCAAAATCTTAGCCCGCTCCGCTCCTGGCGGCCGCTGACCCGGGACGGAGGTCTCGACACGGCGACAGCCGCTATGATCCCGCATAAATCTTTGATATCTACTAAGATATTAATAAATATAGAAATAATATATATAATATATATAAAGAAATTAATGATGTGCTGCAAAAGGCAACTTTGATCTATATTAAATGCACAACCGCAAAAATACCCATTTAACTTTGCACAGTATTATGTAATATTTTTTACTAGCTTATTTAGTCAAGTTGATTAGAATAGAAAATTAACGTCTAATTTCGTTCTACTTGCTCACGCTATCAATATAGTTCTGTGTTTGGCTATTAAAGAAGTTGTAAACATAGATTGTGCGGTATGTAGGGCATCTTTGACCGCTCTCTGCCCAGGTGAATGTACGAGGGCGAAAGTAAAAGTGGACTGCGTCTCGACGGAAAGCGGCCACCACAATTTCCTGACGTAGGTACATTTTCGACGTCATTTATTCTTATATCAACCTTGTATAAAAAAAGCCTTGAACCCGTGCAAATAAATAAAATAATTCTTCGTGTATTACCTAATTTGCAAGATTGAGGCTTATATTCACTCAAAATCTTAGGTATTATTTGTTGCCTAATTTAATATAGTTAGTTTCGTCTTTGCAGAACATTGACTCCTCTAAGAATACTCATATACCCTAAATTAATGTTTTCTCAGCCAACCATGTCTTGTAATTAATTTAATAATTAATTTTCACCAAAGTTGATTCTTATTAATATTTTAAGGCTCCATTGGTTCAAGGAAAATATCCCAGGCTGGACTTATAATAGACGTTCTATATATCTACGTTCAAGAATTATTGTTTCTTAGTTTCTTCAAGTTTATTTGGTTTGCCTGAGTTGTCTAACTGAATTATATCTTTGTTATAAAGTGTTTATCAGCTGACGTTTAAACGCAATATCTTTTGTTTTCTGTTTATTCATGTCCCACGCTCTAAAGCATGCCACGTTTTACATCACACCAGACACATATTGTTATTTAATTTAGTTATATTTTTACCTGTAAATATGATTTTTTAAATTCAGAATGAGTAAATATAAAGTTTAAAACTTTGAATGCTACCTTAGTTTCTGACTGGTTAGTTTCATGGTCTAGTGTTGTTTATGGCCTAACTGTATTTAAATATTGTTCATAGTAACAGACGGCGACGGCCATGTAACGACAGATACTTTTGTCATCTCAGTGGCATTCGCATCCATTAGGTACCGCTACAAGGTTGACGAATTGTCGATCTTCATTATTCTTAATTTATAAATGTAAATTCTTTTTGTGCACCAATGGAGCTTGTATTGTCATGGTTAATGATTGCCTTGGTTGGTGATTTCCTCTAAACTACTCGAAAGACTTTAACGTTGTTTATCCGTGTTATTGCATACGTTAAGTGAATATTAACGGTATATGATTAAGTTAGGGAATTACGAAGTTTATTTTGATACTAAAACAGATTTTGGATTTTGTAAATATAAAAAGACTATTTACAAACTTTTTCACATTTCCTAGATACACATTATAACTTGCTAATGCTTCTTTGTAGGCTCAATTAGCTCGCAGCTGCCGAAGGTGTGATATTTCATCCTTGCCGCTGGTGAATGAACAGCGTATGTTGTTACATTGGAGGTAAAAGTTTTGCTAACAGAAAAAGAACACCTTAAACGCAAACTATGTTGCGTAAGTGATTCATGAATAAAAAATTTTGAGTCTTAATTTTCACGATACTATGTGCACGTTGCTATTTACTAAAGAATTGTTGCCGGTTTATTGTTGCTAGTTACCGGTTGTCGAATTTAGTTTTATCCGAATCATGCATTTAATATACGTCCTGGTTACATTCTAATTCGTTATGTAAGGCGAGGGTACCCAGTCACTAGCCACCCATGCTACCCAGTTACTAATTATGTTTGACCCTTTATTATTGCCAATCAGCGTTGGTATTCGAGGAATGCGACACGCTACTGGCCGAGACGCCACGATTATTAAACGCGCTGCTTTATTGTTATCGTCCAAATTGGCTAGACCTATCGCCAGTGATACAGTCAAGTTATAACACAATGTTTTAAGAATAATTTTCATTAAGCTGCTGTGACAGATACGGCTCAAGCATTTATGGCCAACGATATTATCATATTTTTTTCATTCTATCCGTGCAAGGATTGCGTGCTTGGTACATGATATGATTGCTAACTACAACTTTAGCACTTAGTAGAACAGTACTGTTACGTACTAAAACGTATGCAGTGTTACTCGTCTTATTAGTGACATTTGAATTCATTAAAAAAATATACGCTCATGAAATTAGTATAGATTAACTAAAGCCGATTTCATAAAATGTTTAAGTCATGTTCGTAATAATTCTGATTTCTATTTTTAGTGACTTTAGATGTTGGTTGAACGGTTTGCCTTCCCTGTTATCTTTTTTCCTGGGTAGGTACGCGAAGTAAAGAGTCGTTGCCGGTTTTTGCGTGACTTCAGAATCAGAATCAGAATCATTTATTTGTAAACATAGGTCAAATTACAATAGAGTGTGAGATGTTATGGATAGGCAAGTCCTCTATGTTTTGCCCAGGGGCGTACAAATATACACATTTTTACACATTTTCAAATATACACTTTTTCAAATATCATAAATTTGTAGGATTATTTAAACTTCCACATTATTAATAACGTCAATGATAATAATTAATAATCACATGCATGTCAAAATAAATACAAAATACAGTCAATTTTAATAAATGTCAAACAAATTAATTTAATGTCAATTCAAAATCATTAGGATAGTCGAGGTATTGTACAATTTTCTGAAGCAGTAATTATAGAATTGTCGTCCAAATAGTCCTTTAGTGAGTAATAGCACTTACTTCTCAAGATTTTTAATACTTCTCTTTTAAAATTGGCCAGAGTTAGCGTTTTAATTTTTTCAGGTAATTTGTTGAATATTTTGGTGGCCATACAGAAGGTACTTTTATTCATTAGTGCAGTTTTGCCATATGTCACTTGGAGTTCCGACTTATTTTTATCTCGTAGTTTTCTGTAGTAACTTTTAGTTGCTAGTTTGTATGATGAGATGTTGGATTTCACGAACATATTTGTTTCGTATATGTACAGAGATGGCAAGGTAAGAATTTTTAGACGTATGAAATACGGTCGACAACTGTCGGTGCTTTTTAGACCACACATAGCTCTGACACATCTTTTTTGGGCTTTGAATACAAGTTCTCTATTAACTGAATTGCCCCAGTATATTACGCCATATCTCAGTGT